CCGCCTCCCACGCAAGTGGGAAGTGTGCATCTCGACTCGGTCCCCATGCGGTTTCGGCTGCACGGGTGACTTGTGTCCGAGACTATCCCGACACGTCAAGTGTCATGGATAGGAAGGTTGCTGATTGAGGCCCGCTCTCGGTTCACGCAGTTCGTCACGTTGTGTGTGTGTGTGTGTGTAGTGGCGGACTGGTGAGCTGGGGACGGGCTGAAGCAGCACCTTCCACGGCACTCTCACGCAAGTGAGAGACACGCCGTTCAACCCCCGTTGTGGTAAATCCTGGTGTTTGTGTGTATGGGGGGCCAGGTCGTGCTGTGGCGCGCGCAGGCATGGTCAGTCGACCATGTCAGCCACCGCGCCCATTCCCCACTCCAGTCTGCTGACCGGCTCGGACAGTGGCTGGGGTGTGGGAGTGGGAAGGGAGAGTGAGGTCGACGACTCAGCGCATTTTCCTCACTATAATCAATCTGACGCGCTTGAAGCTATCACGGTGCGCTAAAAGCCGTGGCTTGGAAGGTTGCCAACTGACGGGGTACCTTGGACCTCCTCCTTCACTGGAGGCGGTCTGAGAGTCAGGCTGCAATGGGTCCTTTTTAATGTGGCCTTTATGGCATTCCCACCACAGCGTGGGATCCGAGCCAGGCGTTGGCGGCACGCCTAGGTGCGGCTTCGGCCGTGCCAGCCTACAAATCTCTGTTGTGTTGGTTGAAATCCTGGTTATTGTTGTGTGGACCAGGGGGTGTGGTGGAACGCCAAGGTGAGGATCCGTCCGAGCCATCCACCTGCGGCCTCCCTCGTCTCCGGTCTTCTTGACTCTGTCTTGACACCGGGCCCAGGCGGGGGAGGAGGAGAGAGTGTAGGTAGATGCTACGCAAGTCTACTGGCACTATAAACCCCTGCGTAAGTCACCGTCCCTGCTCCAACCTGCTGTGGGGCACACGGTGGACATCGTCGAAATCGACGGTCGAACTGTCATAAACTTTGTTAATCAGCTAAGCTTTATCTTTTTAGGTTTTACTATAAATTCGATTTTTAAATTGTGCCTAACAAAACGGGAGACGTAAAATCCTCGTTATTGCATACAGCAGGAATTTGACAGGGGGAACAACGCAACAACGATCACCAAAACAATTTGCGGAATTTGTTCGAATGTGTTTATATCCCAGGTGCCAGCGTTGGTTCACGAAACTCCGATTCCCATCGTCCGGGAGGACTAGTGGAGCGGGATAACGACCTTTTTGCGCGCAAATGTTGAGAGAAATGCTAGTCAAAGCATCGAGGAATTATCAGAAAAATTAAATTCGTTATGGTCTGCTGTTCAGAAGCGCCCCCAACAGATAGCAGAGGTCAGTAAACTAGACTTTAATAAAAAAACAAAACAAAGCCCAGCGTTCGACAATCTGCAACTGATTGTTAAGCAGACAGGAAAGGAACCATTTGCTCATTCAATTGTCAACGGAGAAGACAAAGGGACCATTTAAGTTAACAGTAAACACAGACACCGATGGTTTTCTGTGGGTCAGACATCAGTTCCTATGCCAAAATCTGGCCCCTACCTCAAGAAAGCCTTGTTATGGATTTGGGGGAATATGATAGGCCGAATTCACCTTGAGCTACTGCGACAAGGTCATACTGTGTCGGCAGACCCTATTGTCAACAATTAGAACACATGAGCCAAGCCATTGTCGGCAACCATTCACCTCTAATCAATATAAAATGAATCATTCTGCTGCATGACATCGCGAGATCCCACTCCGCCCAACAGACCATCAACAACATCCGATATTTAGGGTGGGAACTTTTACCCCATCCGCTCTATTCAACTGACTGTGCGACAACTGGTCATCATGTATTCAGATCTCTACATCACTTCCTTGGCGCAAAACGCCTCTCGGAATTTTTTCACAAAACAAACTTCCGCTCATAAAGGGAATACTGAAAAACCATTTTCAAGATGGGCTACAGTGACTGGTAACTATGGCAGTTATATGATTGAATAAAAAATAAAACTTTTCCGGTAAGGACTACTCTCATCATTTATAGTAAAAAACGCTATTTCCTTCTGGTACCCCCAATACGAACTTAGAGGAGTCCAAATTCGCCCACTGATTTTGTTTTTATGGACTGAATTAGGTCTTTCCTGAGGGGGCTTCCTCCGTGGATGGTTCTTTAGATGGAGCTCGTAAAGAAGAAGAAGCAGCAAAGTTTGCTACTAATGCTGGCAAGTATTGAGATCCATAGTTTACGTTTGAAACAATAAGAAGAAATACAAATCAGCATCCCTTTTAATCAATCCCGCAAGGTAATTATATCCTTTCCCGAAGTCCAATAGGATAGGGGTTTAGCGTATAATGGAATCCGTCAATTTTCATGTGCTGCTTATCGCCAACTATGAGTAGAAGGTTTTGCTGCCAGATCAGTAAGTCAGTAAAAAACTTCTTTCAGCTGTCAGCTCCTTTCCATTTTGCATCTTCCAAGTCGTCTAAGGTAGAAGGTTTTGGAATGGGGCATATTCAGACTAATAGTCTCGATTTCTAAAGGAAAATTCAAAAAAACACTTGTGTGAAGAAGTTACGGGTGATAACTCACAAGACTAATGAATCCGGTTTCAATTTTATAGTAGAATCCATGATCTCACGACATTTTACAGAACGCAGATGGCGAATAAGTCAACTACTGCTTGATTGTTCATCAGAATGGTGAAAAGGTGGTAGAAGATTTCTTTCTCACCTTTAACTCAAAAGTCTCAACAAAAATACCTTTCACTTGACCCAGTTGTGAAAATTTCGACGGCCTCGGTGGGATTCGAACTCCCGACAGAAAGGTCAAGGCTTGAGTACAGCCAACGCTCAAACCACCTGGGCTACGAGGCCCCGCCGGGAGCAGTGGGGTTAATCACGCCTGGATCAAGTTACTCGCCTAACCTACTACAATTTATGGAATTCACCAATTCTGATCCAGCAAGCTGGTCGCCCAAGCAGTTCCTAAGTCATTAAAATAAAATACAGATGGGACTTCGTAACTCAGGTGGTTGGAGCGTTTGTTGTACTGAAGCCCTGCCCTTGTTGGCTTAAGTTCGAATATCATCGAGACCGTCGATCTTTCACAAACGGGTCAAACGAATTATTCAAATCTGCTAAACATTCTTAGTGAAAATACCTTTGCTGCCAAAAAAGGCTAAAATCTTAAAAAAATCAGACGAAAAGCTCGGACAGCAGTAAAGGCTGCTGTGTAAGCAGTAGAACACTGTGTCTATTTCAGAGGTAGTACGACGTCCTAATTTCACTGATTATGTTCCTCGAAGTACTTTCGTCTGACAGAGAATCCTAAAAGGGTTCAGTGATAGTTGAAGGATGTCCTAGTGTTGTAGGTTTTTCGCGCAGGTTTTTCATGCAGTATAATATTTTTCCATATCAGGTGCTTCGCCTGTTGTCAGATGGTTTTTTCTCCCGTCGGTTCACTGGCTACTGCCTGGTGGTGAGCATTTACTGGTTCCACAGATTTTAAACTAAGCAAAATGTTTACCCTCCATGGAATTTAATATAAAGCAGTCAATACTGAAGCGAGGTCTATTGGCGAACTCTTTGTTCTCGTGGACGCGTTTAACGCGCCAGGGTGTTTGGACGCTTTTGAAGTATGCGTCCCATATGATTCTGTTTCCTTATCCAAGTAGTTATTCGTAAAAGTCACACTTTTATCCGTAAATACAATTATGTGGTGGCCTGTAACTTAGCTTGCGGCACTTGTCCAGGTTTCATCTGAATAGTCTGTTGTTTCCTCCTCACCGAAAAATCAAACAAAACGCATGTATGGCTTAATTCATCGTAACGAAACCTGTGCCGCAGAATGATTCCGTAAGTTCAACAATTTTTTAACGTCTGTCCATGAAAACGCCATCAAAAATTACGCCCAAAATTCTCTGAAGGTTCCGCCTTTCAAGATTTTAGCGCTGCACGAAATCCTCTTTAGGTGCAAAAAAAATCAGCCCAATTTTGAGTGGTTTCTCTTTCGTTATCTAACCCTTATGTATGCTGAGACAGTGCAAATAATTTCCAACTTCTGAACGTGTATAAATTGCCTTTACCAGTCCGCTTGAGTTACAAAAGAGGTTTTCTCAGGTAATATTTGGAAATATTGTTGTACCTCAGACTGGGCAGTTCAAAAGTGATTTAAAATAATTCAAGTATAAAGTGATTCGGTACCTGGGTACCACATTGCCAGTATGAGGACTAATCCGACATTCTGTCTGTAGGTACGGTAAATTGGATATCACATGAAATGTTGACCAACATTCTGAAATGCGTATTCAATTCGAAAAGATCACTTAAATATGGTTGGAATATTAATAATCATGCAGTAAAATCGTAACTTATTTAAAACATAAAATCTTAGGGAGACGTGATTTGCTATCAAATGATTATAGAAAGATTTTCATGCATGTTTTCTACAAAATACACGTGCATCAATAAGAGCATCGAAAGTCGATGCGAAAAAATCCACATTACTTAAGTAGTCATCTTTATAGAGTGTAGTTCATACACGCGGCCGGGAAGAAGCTCGTTTTAAAGCCCGTACGCTGACGTGACTGAAATACTTTGGGATAATGCTACACGCTAATCAATGTTAAGATCCTACTTAAGTAATATTTTCGAACTGAATGCAAATTTTACATTTTTGGTTAACGTGAAATAGTACATTTACTGTATCTCAGATCACATCTGCCGCATTAACTACATCTTCAAATCCAAAGTTTGGATTTGACACGAAAAGTGAGCAAAAAATGATGGTAGAGGAAATCGGAGAAGGAACTTGAATCGAATTACGCTGTCCAGTCAGTTGACATGTAATTATAAAGGTGATATCTGATTTCATTTCATTTCATGAAGAAATGCAAAGCCCGACTTCATGTTAATTGATTTTTTCGACGGTACTTTGAACGAGGTCGCCATGCCAAGAAAGCTCGCCTGTTACCAGGCAAAGGCCAGTCAGGAGGGACTTTTATGAAGTTTGTAGGTCTATGTACGTTTCCAATTTTTCATTTTAAACTTTCTTTTATACCCGAATTTTTGTGTACTGTTGTTTAAATATCTCAGCATACAAACAACCGGTTTCGGCCTTTGATAACGCGTGTTTTGTGTCTGCCTACAGCCTTGTGCTATTGCTCCATCGGTTACGTTCATGTCCCTCAACCTTTTTTAGTCAATTGCCACGAAACATACTTATTTCTCGGTCGTATCTTGCCGGGCATGAATTTACCCAAGCAACAAGCTCCAGTAACCGACTTTAGTCCGGAACCTTCTGAACTTTGCCCAGAGTATTCACGCTATGACAACCGATACTGGAGACGGCTTCAATTTTCGTGAGTCTGTACAATGATTTGCTTTTGCCGTTCTTCCCAGATCCTTGTGCTGTCGTTTTTCTTTTGTACGAAACGCAACATCCTTCATTTAGAGTTAAGTTTATCCTGTATCCATTTTCTTTGTCGTTTTAATTGCCGTTTACACTACAAGTCCCAATCTAGAGTAAAAAGACATTACAAAACGATATTTTGTGATCTCGAAGAAGACGCGGATCGCGAATTGCATAGCAACACATTTTTTAGCAATGTAAAACCTCACTCAGGATCTGAGACACCACTTTACCAGCCTTAGAGATTGTCGTTGGTAATATAACTAGCCTTCGAAGAAGCGGAGAGACTTCCAGTGTCATCTGATGCAACTTTACGTAGAACTTATATTATTCCTCTTATGTTGCCCGAAAGAAGTGGATATGAGAGCCTAACGGATATTTTTGCAAATTCTAGTAGTTCTAATTTACAAAATACTGAGCACTGAGAGGGTGCTATCAAGACTTTGAGTCTCAGTTCGTGGAAGTATCCTCATCTAGGAAGAAGTCATCAGGCAGTTTCTATCTTCTGGACCTTCGGATCTTCACAAAACTGAAAATTCCATCTTAGCTGAGTCTAAATCGAAAAAGTAAAGACGACTCCAATTTGGGGATAGTGAAATGCGTGTCTGATAGAGGAAGACGCGATTACTAGAACGAGGATTTTGTCCGTCCGAAGACTCGGATTCACACTCGAATCCATCATCAGAGGCAGAATCGGGTAAGGGTAACGTTTTACATAAGTGTTACCGAGTACATGACATCAGTGAGGAGGATCGACGTTAACTCCCGAGCCGCGACTCATTCGACGGGACCCGGCCACACAATTTAGATGAGGCCGAAATTCTTGCGGGATTTGGCTGCTGCGTAAGCCACTAGTTGCTTGGGTCATAATTTTCTCACCGTCGGTCAGTTAACAAGCGCAATGACCTCCCACCTCCATATACTGTACTGTGATTTTGCCTGGGAAGAGTAGTTAGGCAGGCGGATGGCGCGCGGGCAAACATTGTTCCCAGTGCCGGTGTCGGAGTGCCAAATGGTCAATAACCCGCACTAGTGACGAAATTACGGCAGTTAACGGTTGTGTGACGAATGTGCTAGACGCATAGCTGATCTGAAGGGAAGTTCCTGGGAGAGAGAGAGACGTCACTAAATAGATGAAAACATCAAATGGTCACTTTATCTTAGCCTGCATCTTAACACGAAGCAATTTCTATTGTTTTATTTGATTGAGGAAGTGTTGCTATTTCGAGGTAATCGGCATTTGCAGAGTAATTAATAATCGTTCAAATACCATAGTTCAAATACCATGGGTCCGAATACAAGCAGATAGGTAAGACAAAACATGAACTAGTACAAACAACGCGTATGGTCTGTTAATTTCAGCAGAATGACGTTGGTAGCAGTTAACAACGGAGTTTCCATGTCGGTCTTGTTATGGTGTTTTATCCTGGTCTCTATGCTAACCTATAGATTCGCCACTAAAATCAGCCCATAAATCGTTTAGGTCACAATTGACTATGCAGCAGCATAATATATCCGTGAAACGACTGACTTCCGAGTTTCATTGTCTACTGCTGAAACAGTAATCACCAATAACATCGTCTTGATTGATTAAAATCCAAGTCTAGACGAAAACGATCCTGTTTTTGAAATTTTTCTTCAAAATATATGAAAGAACTGGTTGCGTTCTACGGACTTATCGAGAGCACAATTGTTGAGTTTAAGCCGCGCGTGATTATGAATATACTAGCGTGGGGGTGGTCATCCCCGATTTGGCCTGGCGAAAGACGGAATACAGGCATTTCTGGAGTCTCAGTTTTGAGCCCTAGTCAGCTGTATTTGATCCTAGTGATTCGCGATTATTAATTACTCGTCGCACCGCGACTGCCTACTAGGGCTCTGAGAGGAAGTCCCAAAGCAGAGTGCAACATCCGCTCCTCCGTCCCACAATCAGGTCACACCGGTGGACGCCATACCCACGCAAAGCCGAATACTGCCCATCAGGGGAGGCAGAGCCCGAACTTGTGGCTCGGTTGGAAGATCGTTAAACTGGACGCGGGTACGGATTTCCCGCCTCCCCCCCCCTGGGTGTGGTTCGCAGTCGGTTGACGACAGCAATGAACCAGAACTGAACACTTCTCCCTGCGTTGGCTTTCTAGGTAGACATTTCTTGGATTGGAAGGATGATCTGAGCTTTTACTGACTGGACGCTTCGTAGGAGATTAGTCTACCTGATCTCCATTCTTTTAATTCTGACTGCTTCTGCGTAGTCTTGAAATGCCAGTCTCTTGTGTTTTTCAAGGCGTCAAGGGCCACTGCTCTCTGACACAAGTTCCGGTGGAGTTCTTTAATTCTGGCATTAACTATCTCAAGGTGGCTTTCTGTATGTCGTTTTAGTGCAGTTGAAGTTGCGGGGATATGATTTCTCCGTAAGGTTTTCCAGTAGTATTTGGGATATTCAGCCCGTTCAATACATCCTGATAAGAATTTGCACGTCACATGTGCCTCCGCAAGTCTGGTGTTAAACTTGAGGAATCCACTGATTTCCTCTAACACCGGGGAATCTTTGGATTGTCTACGTTCCACAGATATTCCCACGCTACACTTGAAAAGTCAAGTTGGCAAACACGTGTTTTCGGTAATCCTTCATCAGGCCAATACAGTTACGTGAAGGAATAAAATGTACAAAATTAACAGTGCTTATAGGTGTCTCAAGGGCTATTAAGTAATTAACACTCATCTTTCTTGGATCCCATCAGTTATTTGAGCAGGTGCCCTGATATGTGTGAGTATCGAAATAAGGTCATGAAAATTGGACGGTCAGCCTCTCAGTGTCATACTTTTCACCCAAACTCTTTTCTCGGTACCTCTGTTAACTATTATTACTGGCAGAAATAACATAAAATAAGTGCGGAGGATAAACGCGACCAATGTCGTCACTGTTCTGAGAGAGAAAAATAATCTGAAAATTGGCAATCAAAGTCTCTACGGGACATTCCTTTGTAGCCGTTTTTGTAACCTCCCTTGGCGAGGACGACAGAAGTACACGGGAACAGGAACAGCCCAGTAAATCCCAAGCAAGTTAAAATTTCCCGTGTTCTGACCCAAACACTAACCCTCGGCCAAACCTCAAGCGTAACTCTATGCTGACATTCTGTCCAAGCCTAGAATATAAAAGTGCCAAATTCGTAAGACCATTTGCATTACAAGAGAGAGTCATAACTAGGTTTCGGAACTGTCAAAATGTGCGTAAATTACGAAACCCATAGCCTTTAAATACGCGAACTCACTAAAGTATTTGTGAACCGTAAAGGATAGAGGAAAACTACGTGCCTGATGGAACTTATCTTTCAAAACATACCATATTTAGCTCGAAGCATTTTGATGGCTATCTCCGGATTTATACACCTTTAAAAAGAACCTGGTGCACCTGAGACTCATGCAGAGATTCCGAATTTTTTTACATTTGAGAACAAAAAGAGGTCGGAAAGGACTAATCCAGGGTTCTGAGGCAGACTATTTATCACGTTTCAACCAACTGCACATAACGGTAATTCCACAAGCGAACCGCCGCGTTTGTTGAATGAAAACGAACTCTCTAGTCGTACTTTTTCTGCACGTGACATGTTTTCGCAAAACTGGCTGGCAGTGAAGTGTAAACAGTCTTGGTTACTAGCAGCGTCGGCTCCGGTCCTTTCTGCGTTTCCCTCGACTGATTACACTACTATCCTACGAGACGGTTAGATTACTTAGGATTTTACCTTTTTTCATTTCTAGTCGCATACTGTCTTAAAACACTTCAAGTGTCTGAATTCTGATCGTTTTTTGGCTAACTAGAAGAGTGGTTAGGGCGTTGGACTTCTAACCCACAGGTCGCGAGATCAAGCTCAAGGAGTCGCACATCTCGGGGTTGGCTATGACTGGCTGACGACGGCTAATAAGCAAGAAATGGTTATTCCGGTCTCCATAGTATTTTTCGTTAATGTCACTCTGCCTATATTACGCGCCGCTGGGCGGCTGCTGGCGGGGCCTGAGAGCCTCAGGGCACAACGGGACGAGTGAGTCCCGTAACGCGATCGGTGAGCACCCCCCCCCCCTCCACCTCTACCAGGGTGACTCCCGTTAACAGCAGGCTCCAGGGTCACGTTTTCTGGAACCTGCAAAGTTACATTCTGTTTTTTAAGTATAGGGTCATGGTAGGAGGAATAATCAGGTTTCAACTAATTTAACATTTCGCCACCTAATCAAGGATTTTTTCATCTATTTAGGCAGACGACCTGTCATAGCACCTGCCATCGCTTAATTTATTAACCGAGCACGTTTTGTCTCGGCAGTTTACTGGTGGATCATAATTATGACGATAGGATCTCCACACTTTTTAAGGCCGTGTGAATGGATGCGAAGATTAATCAGTCCTGCCATCGAGCACAACATCGCCAGAATGAGAAAGCTCATAATCCCCGACGACTTTTGTCATTTATTCATGGTAGAAATACTCATAAGGCCAAACTGAAGGATCGCTGTCATCCCAGTGACATTCGTCCGGGAATGATCCCCCGGTAACTGATCTCTGCTGAACATTTTTCGAGTCCCAAATTAGAATTCCTATTTGCTTAAAAACCGCCTCTGCTCGAATATTAACTCGGCGGCTATGACAATTTTGCCCCAGTCCGCATCAAGGAACGTTTCCATAAGGTCCATGGATAGAAGCTCTTACACTTTCGATAACGATGTTATTCTAATTTTTGCTCATTTGTCGTATTGAGCATGGTAATTCACTGTTTTCAAGACCGCTTGTATTTTTAACTACAGTAGTCTGTAACCTTTGAATATTCAACGAGGACCGAAAAAGTACGAAACTCAGACAGTCAGGCGGCAGTCAGGGGACAGTATTATGTTAACCTTTCCGTAGTCTGCATGAAAAAACAACGGCTAAGTACGCTTCCACTGTCATCTGCCCTTAGCACCTTTAAAAGTTCGTGGGGTCCATTGAGGGAATTTTGCTTCAGTGATGTCGATAATCATCGGCTAGACGGTCTTTGTGGATTCTATGCCTTCTGCTTGAGGATATTACTGGCAATGATAGTTAAAAACGTGTCCACCGGTTAAAATAATATGACTAGGCTTGAAAAGTCTGTCGTCTTTGGCAGCCTCTCACGAGTAATTTACTTTTACATAACAATATGTCTGGGCAGAAATTGGAAACGGTGTAAAGAATCGTTAAGCAGTTTTAGCTGAACCCCATGACATCTTCTGCCTATCAAATAGTGAGAAACAGTCAATGCAAATAGGCTGTTGCAGCCTGCACTCATATTTAATTATCGGCCCGTCATCTACTTCAGTTAGATTGCGATTCAAGTTTTTGTACTGAGGTCACTTTCATTTTGACAATTTATTGTTATACTTTCTTTCAGAAGGAGGCTAAGGTCGTCACTAACCAGCACTGTGTGTCGCGTTATGCTGTTATCTTAAAATATATCAAATACACTTTTCCTCAGGTCAAATTTAGCATGCAAGGGCAACTTGCGGAAAACCTAATCAGTGTCACCCATACTGCAAGTCAAAATCAGTCTGTTAAGTTTCTACATATGGAGAAAATCGCGTACTTGTAAAAATATTACTAGGTCATTTAGGTTCATCATCAACGTTCTGTGTTTGATGGCTGCACATGCGAAAATAGCACCGATTGTTATTTTATTTGAGGGAAAGAAGGAAGATATTTCGCTTTCGAAACCAAATTATCACTTAGATGTGCGCCTGAACTTTTAACTGGACCCAGCACCATTGGCCAAAACTCTCTTTTACTCCATGACTTATTCAAACTAAACTGGATGTTGTGATCAATGACGCACGACCACAAGTTGATCATTCAGCGTGGAGCCCACGGGCCTCTAGTTGTTGCTCAACTCTTGGAGATGGGTCGCCTACGCCTGATAACCGTGTGCATCCTCCTATTCCCTCCCCCTCCTCCCCAGTTTCACCCCCTACGAGCGGTGGTCGTCGTGTCCGTTACACTGACTGTTAATAACTTGTACATTATGCCTGACACTTGCATTGTTTTAATCCAATTTTACACTTCCGAACTCTGCGGTGACACGAAGGGTGTTTTGTTTAAGTATGCTAAAATACTCCCGTAAACTTAGGCAGAACTTTGGATAACAATTCAACTTCAAGTTGCATCCTCGTGACTAATCTGTTTCTTCTTCTTTAAATGGCATATGTTGCCCGTGGGCACTGGCGGATTACGCCCAAGGATTGACCGATTTATATTTTGCAAAGTCTCGGGGAAAGCGGACTTTAGAATTCCAACGAGAACTTGACCGCTCGGCCCATTGACATCTCTTCCTCATACTGATCCTTGCGCATCTATTTATATACGCTCGACGGCTATCATCAGCCATTTGAAGTGGACTTTAAGTTTCGTATAGTTGACAACTGTTTTCACCCCTGGCAATGGGACCTATGTGGTTTTGGAAGTTTATGTTGGCGAAACAATGGTTTCGTCGTTAGTCCATTTTTCGAGTATACTTGACCCCACAAATTCGAAGAGACAATTAAAAGGGAACTGGTACTTGTTGATTGGTGATCGCAGTTATTTCCTGCGAAAAATAATATTTGTCTCATCAACAAATGCATGGACGCGATGATCAGAGATAGATACTGAGGACAATTGTGAGACTGTTTTTAAATGAAAAGAAGGAAATAAGAAATAAGTTGATTTTTTGTTGCTTGGTCGTTTAAAGCCCTGGAAGCTGAAGCAGACGTTTTGTCGTCCTAGTAAGCAGAGGTCTGCAGCCGAACGTTTTATTCTGGAGGCCTCCAGCTGCACATCCAGATCCCAAACAGTGGTGCCCGCAGTCACATGTCTGACGCGCATGACACTGCCAATCCCAAGGGTGGTGGTAAAACCTACTTGCATTTTTCGCAGGCTATCTAACATTTATGATAAATAAAATTTACGTTTCCGTCACTACGCGTCTACATGCTTCATCAAGTCAGGGTTAAATGCTATAGTTGACAACCTTTACTAAGATGATTGGAACCTTCCGTTTTTAAAAGTCAGAAGTAAACACTCATAATATGGCACTACGGAACCTGAAGTAAGGGAGAATCGTACAAACCAACAGATTTATGCCAACAAGCAATAACACCATTAAATCACCCCCTTTGTAAATCAGTTTACAGAATTGAGGAAGGTCTCTCTTGTAGTCTCCCTTGTAGCAGAACAGTCTATCTCACAAGCGGTCCCTGAATTGCGTAAACAAATTTTGATTTAACCGTCAAAGATCTTGGAAGGAAAATGAGGGATGGTTACTCTGAAATCCCCATTCGTACTCTTTCGTGGAGTCGCTGTTGGCACTTGTTTCGAATCTTTTTGAAAAAGGGAAGAATGAAATCGCCTCAGCTGAGCAGGGGTAACTGTTTCTCTGGGCATTCTTGAGATCAGTTGTTGCCGATAGTATATTGACTCAGAAGGCTTATCGAACGGTGTTTGCTGTGAATCATAATCATCTTGTCTAAGAGGTTGTTTTAACATATCCTCTTGATATGATGATTAAACAAATAATCGTCAAGTGTTGTGCAGCATCTGGTGTACAAATCAAATTAAAAATCTTTCGGGAATAAGTACTTCAATTTTCCCCAAAGCCATAGACAATTTAACATTTACTGTTAACTTCACTTATATCTATTGGTCTCCGCGGAACTGTTCAGCCGGATGTTTTAATTATCAGCTGAGAGTTGGCGAGGGTTTATGTGTCTGAAACATGCTAATGTGCAGGTTTCGGATCCCTGGAAATCCCCTCGCCTCTTATACCTGATTCGTTGTCAGCAAATATAATACCAGAGCCTTGGCCTCCCTCAAGTTTACTAATTCCATTTTGAACACGGAACTTCTGAGGCCAAGTTTAAACTGCCTTTACATAAACTAATCTTAGACCTAATATCTTTTTGCATTTAGCGCAATTTGACAGCTTGTCATATAAATTCAAAATATGGTAAAATAATTACATAAAAATTCCTCGTAATTTTTTGATTCCGAAAAAGCAAGCCAAACACTCGGCGGAAAGTAAACCAAAGCCCACAGTCATTAGTGTAAAATTTTTGAAGGACTATAAAAATTGATGCGACATATAAGACACAAATATTTGGACGGTGATTTACTTTAAGGTAAGTTCTCGTAGAAACATAAGCAAGTAGCGAAATCTAAGTAGAAACGGGTCAGGGGCAGGGTTTGTGACCTTTTTCAAGGATTAAAAAGCTGGTTTTTACTATTCCCTTAAAAAGTCAATACGCAGGCCGGGAAAGTATACGTCAGAAAACTTCTTTCCAACGCGTGACCCGTGAATATGGGCTTCAACTTTTACGCCGCCTCCACTCCTCTGGGAGGGCGGTTCGTCCACTCAAAAGCACTCACGCGAGAACTTCGTGAGTCTATTTGGATCTAATTACCGAACCGCAGAAGTAAACGACGGGTTTTAGAACTTGAAAGCTAGATGCAATGGTCGGCGGCGGTAGCTGGCAAAAATTTGCTGCCCGTTTATAAAGAGTGAGATAGAACCGTTGGCGTAGAATGAACCTCTAGGCAAGTTTTTTTTGACTCGCTATTTTATTCGAAGTTAAATTTCTGAAAAGTCATTTAGTGAAAGGGAAAGACATGAGCGAGTTCGACGAAAGGATTCGAATTGTGTAGTAAATGTCTATTGTTGAAACTGTAAAACAACTACTCAAACTTGACAAGAGGCTCCGATTTAATCGGCTGAGCTTAAGAGATTTGTGAGTATTTTAAATGGGAACACAAATCACATTCGGCATTAGGTTTAGAAGATACTATCGTATATCTGAAACAAAGTTAGGTCTGCAAAAGTTAATTGAGGTTCAGTTTCTAACCCGCAAAGACGCTTTGTAGGACGGGAGCTAGCGGACGGACAGATCAAACATTCAGTGCCCGGTATGCCCGGTAGTGTGCAGCTGCAAAACGTCACCACTAGCGGACTTTTCTTATACTGTCACAAAAGTTGGCATTAATCAAAACGAACTCAGTGTCCGACAAATTGGTAATACATATAATTTTACTGTTCTTTTTATGAGTGGTTGGCAGGAATTTGACCGATATCTAGAACGGAAGGTGTGGGCTTACATCATACACTGCAAGAACAGAGGATGACTTAGTCGTTTTTTCAATAAGAGAGTCATAATAAGTGCGTGTTCAATTAAAGAGTTTTAGGTATTCATCCAAATGCATCTTTTCGGTTGTCATATCGGGAGTCCTACATCACTAAGACAGGAGGAGCTGCCTCATGAACAGAATTACACTTCAGGCCAAATCCTGCGCTTTCTATTGAGTATTTCTGAATTCTCTTACTTGAATTTGAGATCCACTGTCTGTCCAGAAAGGGGCATTTATATGCATGGCAAAATTTTCATGTAATATAGTAAACTAAGCTATCAGCAGGAGGGTTCTGGGTTGAATAAAAGAGAAAGCAGGTGGCAGTAGCAAAAGCATGGAACAAGGACGGAAGCAGTGACGCATATATATGTAAGTCATTAATAAGGTTCAGAAACGCACCTCAAGTAGTCAGATTGACGACCAAATTTCTAATGCAGGACTTTTAACGGAAGGTGTCCATAGTCATACCATAATTGGATCTGATTTATAAGGTAAGAGTGAGGATGATAGGACCAACACCGAAGAATGATTTGCAAAACAAGAAAACTTGAAGATTTTCATGGGAACACTTTAGAAAGCAGCACGTAGAAGAAAAGGGGCTTGAGGCAAGACTACAGTTTTAGTAAATTTGCAGTTCAGTCGTGGAATTCGTAATAGCAATCAAAGGATGACTTTAGGAGCGTAGCAGCATAGGTAAACGGCGCTTCTTTTAGCTATGCTGTGGCAGCGCCTCGTAATTCTACTTTGCTAAGTACTCCAAGTGATTTATCAGTTCATATTAGGACAATAAAACGGTCGGTCAGGCAGAGGATTCACAAAATGCCATCTGGCCTTTATTGTAAGCCCAGTTCATATGGCCTTTGATTCTGCCGGCTGTACTCAAAATTCTATTTCACGGCCCCTTGGCTTTATCACTAAGTACATTTCGCTGTCGTTTAGGAAAATACCAATTTTCACTCTCAATTAATAGGTGAAAACGGCTTATGAATACGGTTACTTCTGCTGCTGATGGTTATCTCTAACGAGAGATTCTTGTCCAGGTTCAAAAGCACAGAAGGTTAGGTATCGGACTCCGATTCTTAATCCGTTTCCTTCTTTCTTACATCGGCAAGTCGTCGAGACCTAAATGTCCATCAGTATTCGTGAAACTGCGAGCTTCACATCCGTCTTGACAGGCGGTAGGGAGTACGCTAACGTCTTCTCTGTCTTTAGCGTAAAATAGTACTCAATGCCCCAAATTAACCTACTTTTAAGACCCCTTAGTGATCTCACTTTTAGTCATTGTTTATAGCCAAAGTAGAAGAAAAGAACAAAGCCCAATTCTAATCAAGACTAATTTGTTTTTCTACCAAAAAAGGAATTCTATTAAGATGACCAGAAAACACTGAATCATGTGGAGAAATGGGTCCCTAGTTTGCATTATTTCGTCCGCTCTAGCGCCCTTCATTTCTTCTTCTGTGTTTTTTAAACGACCATGTTGGTGGCGGATGGCTAGATTATGTTCGTTTATACGCGTCCCGAGTCGTCGGCCTGTATGACCAACATAGTGGCAAGAGCAGTTAGCACACGGAATGCGGTAGATGACATTGGTTTGCTGCTCTTTTGGTATAGGATCTTTTACTCGAGATAGCGTTGCGCGCAGGGAGGACGCTGGCTTGTGGGCAATGAAGATGCCAAACCGATTTAGTTGTCGGGCGACCGCTTCGGAATTGCCCTGCATGTAGGGTAGAGAGAAGTATTTCCGTAGTTCTGGTCCCTCATTAGAACCAGCGCCTTGCGGTTGTCTCCGATGTCTGAGACAATTTTTCACAAAGCTAACCGGGTATCCGTTGAGCCGGAATAGCCGATACAGGAAAGCGAGTTCTTTCTTAAGTAGATCATCGCTGATACAGCAACGATGGGCCCGGTGGAAAAGGGTTCGGACACAGCTCCTTTTGTGGGCCGCCGGATGGTTGCTCACGTAATTAAGAATGACGTCAGCAACGAGCGTCTACCGAAAAGACTCCAGTGCTGACGTCATTCTTAATTACGAGAGCAACCATCCGGCGGCCCACAAAAGGAGCTGTGTCCGAACCCTTTTCCACCGGGCCCATCGTTGCTGTAACAGCGATGATCTACTTAAGAAAGAACTCGCTTTCCTGTATCGGCTATTCCGGCTCAACGGATACCCGGTTAGCTTTGTGAAAAATTGTCTCAGACATCGGAGACAACCGCAAGGCGCTGGTTCTAATGAGGGACCAGAACTACGGAAATACTTCTCTCTACCCTACATGCAGGGCAATTCCGAAGCGGTCGCCCGACAACTAAATCGGTTTGGCATCTTCATTGCCCACAAGCCAGCGTCCTCCCTGCGCGCAACGCTATCTCGAGTAAAAGATCCTATACCAAAAGAGCAGCAAACCAATGTCATCTACCGCATTCCGTGTGCTAACTGCTCTTGCCACTATGTTGGTCATACAGGCCGACGACTCGGGACGCGTATAAACGAACATAATCTAGCCATCCGCCGACGTGACCCTTTGTCACTGGTGTTTACGCACGCCCTTGAATACGATCATCGCTTCAATTGGGAAGGAACTGAAGTTGTTGCCACGGCAAACACCAAACAGGCCCGAGAATTCCTCGAAGCCTGGCACTCTAACACGACCAGCATCAATCGCCATGTCGATCTGGATGCTCATTACGAAGGTCTGCGTGTCCGGCTCACTGACTTGCGCCCACGACCTAACAACAGCCGCTGAACAACACTGGTTTACGCATAATCGCAAAATTTCGTCATCCCCTACCCAGGACAAAGTGAACCGCATCTGCAATCCCTAACACCTCTGCGTTGGCTCACTGACCTCTGCCCACATGTCAGATCGACGATCATTAAGTCCACTGTCCGTAGTCCCTTTGAATCATCATCCCCCTACCCTCCAACACAGGGAGCCGCAACAGTTCACCCTCCCCTCCCCCGCCACAGATCCTAGCCTAATTATGTGTCCACCCGCATTTCATACATTAGTTGCTTGTCTGTCAGTGGCTGCCCTGTCACGTCAACCAATTTTGTCTGACCATTTCACTTTCTCCTCTGTTTATTTCGTCTGACGACGGGTTGGTGTCACCAGCTAGAAAATTCGCGAGTACAACTCAATTTTTCCGACGAGCCTTCTCTCTTCATCATATTATCTCGGAATGCACACAACTTCAACTATTCAATATATATATATATATATATATATATATAATGTTAGGGGGCGCTCACCGATCGTTCATACGGAACTCACTCGTTCCGTATGAACGATCGGTGAGCGCCCCCTAACATTGTATATTCCCGATCGAAAACCGACAAGGCAACGGGCTCGTGGCCCGGTGAGTAGAGGCGTTGACTTCTAAACCAACAGGTCGCGAGTTCGAGGCTCGGGTGTTCCACACTTCGGGCTTGGGTATGGCTGGCTGACGACGGCTAATAAGCCAGAAATGGCCATTCCAGTCTCCCTTGTCTTTGTCGGTAATACTATTCTGCCTATATATATATATATATATATATATTATGACAGTGGGCGCACGCCGAATCTCAAGTGATCCACACTTGGGGTTGGGTATGACTGGCTGATGACGGCTAATAAGCCAGAAATGGCCATTCCGGTCTCCCTTGTCTTTGTCGGTATCATCTCATCTATGTCTACCACTAGTCGCTGTGCGACTGCCTGCGAGGGTTTAAGTATGAGCCCCAAGGCACAACGGAACGAGCATGTTCCGTAACCTGATCGGTGAGCGCCCACTATCATAATTAATATTCCCGATCACAACCGACAGGACAACGGGCCCGTGGCTCAATGGTAGAGCGTTCAACTCCATGACCAAAGATCCCGGGTTCGAATCTCAAGTGATCCACACTTGGGGTTGGGTATGACTGGCTGATGACGGCTAATAAGCCAGAAATGGCCATTCCGGTCTCCCTTGTCTTTGTCGGTATCATCTCATATATATATATATATATATATATATATATTCCGAATGATAGAGAATACGCGCGGCCCAGGTTATTGCATAGAAGAAGACGGGAAGGCGATCGCTGGGACCAGTGGTTTATTTGTCCGACGTTTCGAACTCTCACGCGAGCCCATCGTCAAGGAATGAAAATACTGTACAACTCATCGCATATTTAGCTCTTCTCTGCCGGGAATGACCTCCAGCTGCGCTGATGATTTGTTCACGCAGTGCTTGATAAGCGATTGGCAGATCGATATGTCGATTGATCGTGTCCTCAGTTGAGTGCCACGCTTCCTGCAGCAGGCGAGCAACTCGGTTGTCTGACTGCCCTAGTATTCTCACGCTCTCGAAGTCAAAGGCGTGCCCTGGCGAGGAGGCGTGGGCGGCTACCAAGGAGAGTTTGTCGTTCCGTCCCACGGCCAATTCATGCTCGTGCATTCTCGTGCGGACCTGTTTGCCGGTTTCACCAACATAACTGGCCTGACCGCAATTGCAGTCTATCCGGTAAATGACTCCCGATTTCTGATCTATGGGAATCGGGTCCTTGGGCTGCATGAGTTGCCGGCGGATTGTTGCTTCAGGTCTGTGCGCGACGCCGATCCCAAATTCGCTCACCAGTCTGGCGAATTCTTCTGACAAACCAGCTATGTACGGCACTGCGCGCCAGCACTTCGGTTTCGGCTGCCCCTTCGGTTTTCTTCCCCGGATTTCTCGCCTGCACTTTTCGACGAAATTCCCAGGGTAGCCGTTCATGATGAAGAGTTTCCTCAGGAACTGCGCCTCGGCCTTCTTGTCGGCTGGCTCCGTGCAGTGGGTTTCTACACGTCCGTAGAGTGTTCTTACGCAGCTGCGTTTGTGCGAAAGGGGGTGGTTGCTGAGAAAACTCAGAATACGAGAGGTATTCGTCGCCTTCCGGTAAACTGTTGTTTTTAGTCCCCCATCGCCTTTTCTCTGGACTAGTACGTCGAGAAACGGCAACTGGCCATCTTTTTCCGTTTCCATCGTGAACTGGATAGACTGCAATTCCGGTCAGGCCAGTTATGTTGGTGAAACCGGCAAACAGGTCCGCACGAGAATGCACGAGCATGAATTGGCCGTGGGACGGAACGACAAACTCTCCTTGGTAGCCGCCCACGCCTCCTCGCCAGGGCACGCCTTTGACTTCGAGAGCGTGAGAATACTAGGGCAGTCAGACAACCGAGTTGCTCGCCTGCTGCAGGAAGCGTGGCACTCAACTGAGGACACGATCAATCGACATATCGATCTGCCAATCGCTTATCAAGCACTGCGTGAACAAATCATCAGCGCAGCTGGAGGTCATTCCCGGCAGAGAAGAGCTAAATATGCGATGAGTTGTACAGTATTTTCATTCCTTGACGATGGGCTCGCGTGAGAGTTCGAAACGTCGGACAAATAAACCACTGGTCCCAGCGATCGCCTTCCCGTCTTCTTCTATATATATATATATATCAGCAAGGATATATATACATATATATTAGTTATGCGCAGCGTTTGAAGGGGTATAGTTAGAAAGCACAATATGTTGTAAGGCGAAAGTCAGGTGTCTCATTCTCACGTTCATGACCAACAGGTCGACCATCGATTCGGACTATGTCCACCGTGTGCTACAAAGCTAAGTGCAGCAGGCAGGGTGACTTGCGCGTGAATTATTTTATAGTGATAGTGCACTTGCCCGGCATCTACCGCACTCTCTATTCCCTCGCCTAATCCCGATGTTAGGACGGAGTCAAGAAGACCGGAGGGGGAGGGGAGGGCACAGGTGGCGGCCACGACCGGCCCGCACCTAAGCGTGACACCACACCACCTGGTCCACAACGCGCAGATGGCCAGGATTTTTCATCATCATCATCATCATCATCATCATCATCATCATCATCATCATCATCATCATCATCATCATCATCATCATCATCATCATCATCATCATCATCATCATCATCATCATCATCATCATCATCAACAACAACAACAACAACAACAACAACAACCCAACAGGAGTCAGAAGGACGAGGATGACTGGACAGCCATGCTCACCACCTGTATGCCCAGCCGGACCTTCCTGACCACCGTATTGCTGAATACCAGGCAGGTGGTGAGTTTTCTCGAACCCTCTGCAATAACGTGTTTGCAGATCGTAAGCCGGGACGACAAGGTAGAGAAGGTAGCTTTGATTTTTAAAAGTGCACAGTTGCGACTGCTGGTCGTAAGTAAAGTGTACAATGTCGGCATAGCCTATACCATCATCAGGGCCTCACTGATTGGCCCATCTGTGGACGCCGCGCGATTTGATGATGCTGCCTATAACCTTGATTAGCGCTGGACAAACGGCGATCGTGTGTGAGCACCAATAAGTGTGGGCAGGCGAAGCAGCCGCCGATTTGGCAGCAACTAGCAGTTGCACAGGCGACGCCAACAGCAACAGGGTGTCACTACAACTACCCACCATTGAGAGTTTCCAAATAACTGAAACCAATACATTCAGGTATTTCCTCGCCTAAGTTTAGCCTTTGGGCCTTCTCACTTTAAGTGAGCTAGGAAATGTCGCTATGGTTTAATCAGACTGAGATGGTGTCCATCGTCTTACCGTGCAATAAACCACTAAGATAGAGAATACTCGCTTAAGATGGGACAGGATTTGTCACGTCTGGCGACCAAAGGAGAATATCGGTAAAATATGGCTTGGTAGCTCCACCTGATGGGCACAATACTTTTGAGGTTAGGGGGTAAGGGGTGATAGTTAGGAGTTAGGGTTAGGGGTTAGCGCAACTATTTCTCAACCACTCAAAGTACAACCGCGCATTCTCAATGGCTTTTCTTTTGCATACAAGTACTTGACCTCGTCGCCTGTGCGTTCCCCGGCCCCACTTGCAAAAACCCCAACTACCACCGGTCTTGTATTAGAGGTGACTTGGGTTTATTTACATCAGGTGGGGCTATATAACCACATCCGACCAGAATATCTTGCCAAATAAGTGCAGGAAAGTTACCGCATGGGACGGCGGTGGCTGTGATGATGATGATGATGATGATGATGAGGATGATGATGATGATGATGATGATGATGATGATGATGATGATGATGATGATGATGATGATGATGATGATGATGATGATGATGATGATGATGATGATGATGATGATGATGATGATGATGATGATGATGATGATGATGATGATGATGATGAGGGCGGCGGCGGCGGCGGCGGCGGCGGCGGCGGCGGCGGCGACAATTTCAACAAAGATTAAGACGACCACAGGCACCAAGAAGTGTTCAGGAAAGGAGTTGTAGTAATAACTAATGCTGTTTCACCATCGTTCCGGCTCGCGTTGTCCGTTAGCCGCTTCTTTCAAACAGAATGCGAGGTTTCTTCCGATGTAGTATACTCCAGATATCTGAGGCATCTGATTCCTTTGCGGGCAGCTGGCTGGACATAATTAACTTCTCCCTTTCAGTGTCAAAGGCAGGTAGATTAAGGTGGAGAGTAAACTAAGGAAACTCCTCATAGACACATGGCCTATGCTTGTTACGATCTCGCTGATCGACTCCTTCCGTCCGTAGTCCAGGTCTAATTTAACGATCTGAAAAACTAACTGAAAATGACAGGAAGAAGGAAGATCAAATGAGAGCAGTCTGCGACTAAGCATTGTTAGAAAGACCTGTTCGCGGTCAGAAACAGTTATCTGTGTTGCGCAGCTCCAACTTAAGAAGACTAAAGTCTGAAGGAAAACGGTGTAAGGACGGATGATTTGAACAGACATACCGCAGCCGTGACGGTTGTGTCATTGCAAATAAATTCATAAAGCATTTGATCTGTTTATTTTCTATCCAAAACCTGAGAAAGTGCGTCCGTTCTCAAGCGGTAAATATTTATGACAGAAAGCATATTTCAGACAGCAGAAAGTGAGGTAGGCAAGACCCAAGTTCGCTGACCAGACCGGAGACAAGTTTCGAGGGTTCCTAGGGTCCCGTCTCATGTTCGTTCGTCTGTCGTGCCCGACGAAACCCACTACTATCTAGGAGGACTACGGTGCCTTGGGTTACATCGACGCGGCTTACTCCTTTCATTCCCACCGAACTTCAGTGATACGAAGGAGTCAGAGCAACTGGAAGTTGGCTTGGATACGGTGACTGGTATGGCATCTCCTCCTTCCCCGTTAAGCATGTAACGTGTGCTCTGGTTCGTGTACCTACCTGAATCAGGCTACGCAGACGCCTGTATTAAACAGAACGCAGGACCTCTGTAAGGTCTGACTCCTCTCTGCCTTACGTTTCTGGACCCAAGCCTTTTATCTGCTGCAGCTGAAATATTCGGAAGGGTTATTGAAGTTTCGCGTGCGTGCGCGACTGAATCGGGTTCGCGCGAATGACGTTCATACTTCTTTACGCCACCCTAAAATATAAATCTTCAGTCATGTGCTACAGGGGGGGGGGGGGGGGGGG